GTTGCTGTCCTTCAAGAAACTGCCTGCCAGCAGAGTCCATGCAGCCTGATGAGTGGGTAGAGCTGGTTAGTATGGGTGTTCATTCTCATTGTATTCTGTCATCATTAGCCAAGCTTCTGCCTGCTGCTACACTGCTCCACTAGACACCGTTGCTCTTTTACATCACTGTCAAACCAGGAACTGTGCCTACTCCAGGCCAGGAGATTGACACGTGACAACAGTCGACCTCCTCTTTCTAGTTTTTTATTCCCCCAAGTCCAGCAGTTCCCATCCAGCTAGTCTGCTGACGGTCTACCACTACCCTGCAGTCTTAATGAGGCCCTACTGCCTTACAAGCCCAGTCATGCTCAGGGAAGGATAAGCGAGTTGAAGAAAAAGGAGATCTAATCCGTCTCCATCTTAAAAAAATGACAGGAGCATTTATTTAATTATTGATTTAATTCATCTGCATACTCTAAAATGGTGCAATCAGCAGTAGAAAAGTTTTTATCAATCATGGTCAGAGAGGAGAACACAGAAAAATAGGGATAGTTTTCTTTAAAAATACGATTAAAAAATGCAGATCTTACATTCTTTCATTCACTTTTGCCTGTCACCTCCTATATCTAGCCTAAACAACAACAGACTTATCAGGCTTTCTATAGACGACCAAAGAGATGCCAAAAAATGCCATCAGGTCTCAGGTGAATGTGATAAAATGATCGTTCTCTGTACCAACACAGGATCACAGAGCTTATCATTACTTACAGTCTCACTTAGCCTGGAGTTTGCCTGTAAGCTGTGGTTATTCAAGCAGCAGTGCATATATGGGTGTAGATAAGACTAGGAGAAGCCCTGAGATTGTGAGATGGGGCCACCGACTGCAGTCACTATAACTTCCATGGACGCAGCAAACCGAGCTCTTCCTGCCTTTGTGCTAAAGGATACATATCATGCTAATGAAACAGACTATGCTTGGTTGGCCTGTGTTCTTAACTGACTGTCTCTATGGTACCCTCACTAATAATTACTTGAGGATAATGCCATTTATGCAAGGGATAAGACCATTTAATGCAAAGTTAGCTTCTTGGCTGCAAATATGCAACAAAATCAAAAATAAGGAATGTATTTGTGGCTGTATGAATCTCCATATACAGTGCCTTGCAAAAGTATTCATACCCCTTGAACTTTTCCACATTTTGTGCCATTACAACCACAAACTTAAATGTATTTTATTGGGATTTTATGTGATAGACCAACACAAAGTATTGCGTAATTGTGAAGTGGAAGGAAAATGATACATGTTGTTCAAGATTTTTTACAAATAAAAATGAAAAGTGTGGCATGCATATGTATTCAGCCCCCTTGAGTCAATACTTTGTCGAAGCACCTTTCGCTGCAATTACAGCTGCAAGTCTTTTGGGGTATGTCTCTACCAGCTTTGCACATCTAGAGACTGCAATTTTTGCCCATTCGTCTTTGAAAAGTAGCTCCAGTTCAGTCAGATTGGATGGAGAGTGTCTGTGAACAGCAATTTAAGTCTTGACACAGATTCAATAGGATTTAGGTCTGGACTTTGACCAGGCCATTCTAGCAAATGGATATGCTTTGATCTAAACCATTCCATTGTAGCTCTGGCTGTATGTTTAGGGTTGTTGCCCTGCTGGAAAGTGAACCTCCGCCCCAGTCCCAAGTCTTTTGCAGATTCTAACAGATTTTCTTCCAGGATTGCCCTCTATTTAGCTACATCCATCTTCCCATCAACTCTGACCAGCTTCCCTGTCCCTGCTGAAGAAATGCATCCCCACAGCATGATGCTGCCACCACTGTTTTTCACGGTGGGCAAGGTGTGTTCAGGTTGATGTTTAGTGTTAGGTTTCCGCCACACATAACGTTTTGCATGTAGACCAAAAAGTTTAATTTTGGTCTCATCTGACCAGAGCACCTTCTTCCACACGTTTGCTGTGTCCCCTACATGGCTTGTGGCAAACTGCAAATGGGACTTCTTATTGCTTTCTTTCAACAATGGCATTCTTCTTGCCACTCTTCCATAAAAGCCTGTTACGGCGCACCATATATAGTGCTAGTTCGGACTCAGAAATATGCAGGCCTCGGACTTAGGCTTGACAAGGTAATTGTATTTTAATGAGTTTGGAAATGAGAAGTGGACAGAGCCGGTCAGTGCAGTCGATCTCAGGGCATCTGGGAGCGTAGGGTTGACTGGACTGCTAGGGTTGAAGAGAGGCGCAAAGAGAGAGTAACAGGTATACTACGGTAAGCACTAGCTTGAGTAGTAATACTGAAGACTTGAATAACTGAGTGTGCTAGCTCTTGACAGGAGATTGCCACAGGCATATGAAGCAGCCCAGGGAAGCAGGAGCTGGCACTGGTGAGCACTGGTCCAGAGTGCAGGACCCCCGTGGTGGAGAGTGAGAACCAGTCCGTCAGATGGCATGGCAGGCAGCCGGATGGTATGATGACGGCTAAACAGCAGAGATCCAGGACCACTGTGCTAGTCGCAGTAGAGGCAGGTCTCCTAGCCCTGTGGAGCGCTGCCTGAGGAAACTGTTCAGTCACAGTACCAAGTGGTGTTGTGAAAAACAAACAAAAAAAACAAACAAACAAAACAAAACAAAAAAAATGGCCGAAGCCAAATCGGTCTGGGAAAACACAGTTCAAACACAGGGCGACCCGTCAAAAAATAAGAAGGGCAGGAATTCAAAGAAGCTGGTGCATAAGTTCCCACAAGCAGAGGGCATATAGTTCAAAACAGAAAGTCAGGCCAAACAAAAGCACAGCAGTTCGTTCACATAAAATCTGTAACATGAGTACACAGCAATGTTACCAGCAGGAGTATAAGAGATCATCTGGCAACGAGGACACACCAATGCTTTCCTTAAGTACTGCTCTAATAATTGAACGCAGGTGTGCCTCGCTGCTTGGAACGCACTCCCACCAGTGCTGGGGCAGAGCTGCAGGGATTACCCATGCCAGCTGACAAGGTGCTGGGGGCGGCCAGGGCCACGGATGTAACAAAGCCATATTTGTGGAGTACACGACTAATAGTTGTTCTGTGGACAGATTTTCCCACCTGAGCTGTGGATCTCTGCAGCTCCTCCAGAGTTAACATGGGCCTCTTGGTTGCTTCTCTGATTAATGCTCCCCTTGTCCGGCCCGTCAGTTTAAGTGGACGGCCATGTCTTGGTAGGTTTGCAATTGTGCCATACGCTTTCCATTTTCGGATGATGGATTGAACAGTGCTCCGTGAGATGTTCAAAGCTTGGGATATGTTTTTATAACTTAATCCTGCTTCAAACTTCTCCACAACATGTGATGATCTGTCTGGTGTGTTCCTTAGTCTTCTTGATGCTGTTTGTTCACTAATGTTCTCTAACAAACCTCTGAGGCCTTCACAGAACAGCTGTATTTATACTGAGATTGAAGCACACACAGGTGGACTATTTACTAATTAGGTGACTTCTGAAGGCAGTTGGATTGGATTGGATTTTATTTAGGGATATGAGAGTAAAGGGAGCTGAATACATATGCACGCCCCACTTTTCAGATTTTTTCTTGTAAAAACCACATATCATTTTCCTTCCACTTCACAATTATGCGATACTTTGTGTTGGACTATTACATAAAATCCCAATAAAATACATTTAAGTTTGTGGTTGTAATGTGACAAAATGTGGAAAAATTCAAGGGGTAAGAATACTTTTGCAAGGCACTGTAGCTCTATGTTTGAACTGTAAAAATTGTGTTTGCATTTTCATCTGTGAGGTAAAAGCTGTGTTACTGCACCAAAGCTACAGTATGTGGTGCATTCTTGGTTCCAGGGATTATCATGATTGGTTGCTCCCACCTGCTCAAACCTTTTTAATTTTCATCTTTACAAAGCTACAAACAAACAAATTCTGTTCAAAAGCTTGAATTCAGTCTATGATTTTTTTTTTAACCTTGAGACATGTCTACTTTTTTTTAATTTAATATCTCAATTTCAGTGGTTGATTTCCCAGCTCACTGTAGCTCCTGTCACAACTAATTCCCACCCACATTTGGCTTGGGGACAGTGTAGAAACCCCACTACACATACTGTATACTGCTCTCTTCTTTTTAGCCAACACTGAGGCACCCAACCAGCAAGCAGAAGCCACTAGTGCAGTGACAAAACGATGAGCCTTCACTGGGTTGCTAATTCTGAACACTGCCTATTAGGGTTATCTGGTACAGCTGGCTGAGCAGGAAGTACCCAAGTCACTGCCAAGATGGTTCCTGTAGGGTCCCTCACTTGATACTGAACTGACTCTTATGCTGGATACAGTTATTTTAGGACCAGAACAGCCTCCTACATAAGGACATCAGTTTCATTTGTGGCGGATGTGTTCCAAGCCATTCTCTACACCACATATAATTATCTGAGCATCATACAAAAATAGCCTGCTTTTAAAGGGACTTACTTTTAAAAAACATTTATTCAGTGCACCTTAAATGTCTGTGTGCTTTTGTGACATTTCTGGACAAGTTCCAGTCATAAACACCCATGATGGCATAAAGTTAGATGCTAAAAAAAAAAACAAACAAACAAAAAAAACCCCCAGCAGAGTCAGGGATATGGAATATTATACCATAGATGAAGTTGCTGCAACACACTTGTATAAAGATGGCTGTCACAGTTAGGAACGACTGAACTGCACAATAAATACCACAAAAAAGTTGTCAAACTTCTAGGTAATTTATTTATTTATAGTTAAGACAATTTTGTCTTCATATTTAAATTCTAATTTAAACTGAATTAAGGCATTATAATTTTGAAATGTAATGACAGAGCTTTAGGGGCTAAGAAAAGCAGCAGATTTCAATTCTTTAGAATAGATGTAATCACTATGAGTGACCCCTTTCATATTGACATGTGATCCACTGTAATTGTTGCAATATTAATTATAGCTATTACTGTACAAGAAATTCTCACGTGAGGTTCATTATATTACTGTCAATGGGTGCTCATCACATCTACTTACCCCTGTTCCTCCATCATCTCCTGGAGCTCCATACATTTGAGCTCCACCCTCCTCTTCCTCTCATGGTCCAGAATCTCTCTGTGTGGCTTCTTCACCAGTACAGGTTCTGCTTTGAGCTCCTCCTCCTCCTCCTCCGTACCTGGCCACCCCTCCTCAGTTTTAGCTTGTAGGACCGCAGTCGGCATGGGCCCTCCTGATCCTACAGTTGTTCCTGCTTCTGCTCCGGGGACCACAGGTGGGCCAATTGCACCATCCTTAGGAGACGACACCCTTGCCGCATCGTACATGATTACTGGACTCTGTGGAGACACAGGTGATAGAGAGAAAAGGGTCAGCTGAGAGAAAAGAGGCGCTATTTGTTGAACAATGGGTATCCCAGTGGATTTTGGCGGTCTTGTTTAGGTTAATGATTAGCATTCAGTCCGTCTAAGAATCCAAAACAACCAAGCTTGTGGTTGCATTTGAATTATCACTGTGCTGTTCACAGTTGAATGTAGGATATTCTTCATTGCCACCATATAGAGCCCAGCTCTATGGTCCCCAGAGCCCTATTTGGTTTATCCACGCATACAGCACATATCCAACCTCTCTTAGCATATCATGATATCTGAACAAACATTAAGCCACAAACATTTTGAGACTGGGCAGTACATGCTGAAAGATGAACAGTTTGTGATTTGATGTGATTATTTTTTGGACAGGATGCAGCATTTCTGCGTGAACTGAGTGGTATACTTGGCAAACATTCATGCACATCAGCATACTGTACATACACAGACACACATACACTTTGGATCTGGAGTACATGTAGACATGTATTGCCAGTGACAGCGCAAGCAGAAACTTCTGCTCCATGAGTCAACAACCCAGTAGTGCTGAGAGGCAAGTTGGGGGTGGGAAGCATGAGAGCTGAATTGTTTTTTCAAATTCTCTTATCTCCTGGACAAAACGGAAGCTCTAAATGGTACAGGTACACCACACACAAAGCATGACAGGGAAAGCATGGGAGTGGCAGACTCATTAGCATCTTAAGAAGAAGGGGAGACATCTGCATCCACAGAACAGGTGACAGAGGAAGAATGTGGGAAATAAAATGTATTTTTGTTTTTCACTTTATCAACCTTTCTGTTTCTGGTTGGTTTACTCACTGAATGATGAGGCTGTCATTTTGGTGAATAAAAAGTCATCTGGTACAAGTGCTGCATGAACTGTGCTCTGATTATGATGGATTGTCTTGTTAAAGTCAGTGTAGGGCATGTGGGACGCGAGAAGGGCTTCATGTGCCCATAAGCCTTGGTTGCCCATCATTCCTCTACCTCTACAACTTATAGCTTCATTTTCTACTGAGGAGCCAAAAAGGCCCAGCACTTTATCTCTGTCACACATGGAGACAGGATACCACTGAGGCTGGATGGACAAACATCCAGCACTACATTCACATTTTCCCCTGATTTACTTCTACTTATCACAGGGAGTGTGTGAGCAGCTTGGGCCATGCAGGCAGGTGCTTATCTCCAGTTGAGCTGATTCTGAAAGTCTTTGACTGGTTAATAGGGATGTGCGTGTTTTTGAAGTGCCGCACGCTGGTAAACAAGCCATGGATTTGTACGCAGCAACATGGCTATTGGCTGACAGAACAGGTGGCAGGACAGCAGGAGGTATCATCGCTGAATCGATTATACAGTAAATCAGCACTTGATATTCCCTGACAGCAATCTCTCATCTGCACGCTCTTGGCTGTAGAGCATTCTGGGAAGCAAAGCTCTCACCAAAAGAGACGTTCACATGACATTCAGTTAAACAAGATAAAGAACCTCTGTATGAGCTTGGAAAAAAGTTTTTTTCATCTTGTTTGATAAAAGCTTGTAGCCATATGATGTCAATCATCTCTTCAAAAGTTCTAAATCACTGACATTACAATAATATGTCAGAACAGAAAAAGTTTTAATTAGTCCAAATGACAGCGGTAGAAGAAGTACCTAGATCCCTTACTTAAGTAAACGTAGCAAGACCACATTTTAAAAAGCACTTTGTTGCAAGTAAAAGTCCTACATTCAAAATGTTACTTAAGCAAAAGTACAAAATTATTAGCATCAAAATATACTTGAAGTATTCAAAGTAAAACTATAAATATTATGCAGCATGGCACACTTAACATTAATGTATAATATTATTGGACCGTAATTAGTGATGCATTATTGTGTACATCACATTTAATGTTGCAACTGGTAAAGGTGTAACTAGTTTTAACTAGATTCCATGCTTATAATGTAGCTGAGTAGCTTGTGAATTTTACACTAGAGATAAATGAAGTTTTAGGATAATAGTGTAATTTATTTATTAATCTGATTCTTAAAAGTAATGAGTTATAAAATAAGTTATAAAATAAATGTAGATGGGTAAAAAAGTACAATATTTGTCTCTAAAATGCGGCGAAGTCAAAGTATGAAGTAGCACAAAATGAAAATACTCAAAGTACAGTACAGATACCTCAAAATTGTACCTAAGTACAGTACTTGAGTAAATGTACTTAGTTTCCAGCTTGAGCTGGACGGCTTAGGTCAGGTTACTGAGCTGTCTGAAATTCGACTGTAATGAGTTTAAATACTATGAGGTTTTCATGTGAAAAATCTGTGAAAACTAGAGCCCTCCTATTTCCCACAGGGCCAGATGTGGGGAGTCAAAAGCTGCAGGCCAATCACCAGCCTGTGTTAAACCATGCTGTAAATATCCAGTCATGTCATTATACTAATGTGTCATTCCATGGTCATGCCTTTTGTTCCAAAGAGGGGGTGGGGGTTTGCAAAAATCTGTTCTCTTTCAATTTAAAACAACTAAATCATTTGTATAATGAAAAAATGGGGGCACAAAGGGAGACTTGTCAGTGAGCTGATAAGGAAGCAGAGTGCACAGTTAATTGTGTGGGAGTCCTCTACAGGGACTGAAGGTTATCTGCAGCTACTGTATTAATGGTGGCACCAGCCTTGTCAGCTGTGTTGTGAGGGTGTTTAGGACCGTCACGTTCCAACAAATACTTATTGTAGTCCGTCATTATGCTTATGTGCTAAGTCACCAACATGTTTCAAATCACAACAACACTCTTGAATTCAGTTTTCTATTTTGAAATGTTAGGTATTTTTAGTCAGATAAATATTGGTTAGGTACTTGTTGGATTAGAAATGTATTCAGTGTAGACAGGATGTCTAGCTCAGGCTGTTAAATGCTTACTCATTTCCATGAGTTACTCCAGGTTGTTTATGTTCCAGGATAACTAGATAGAAAGTGGCTACTGTATGATATGTTTAGCCGTAATCTTAATCATAATATCTTCCTAGGCTTAATGTCCAGACATGTCCCTGAATGTCCTGTATGTTCTTAGATACACACCACTTAATCAACACTCACACACATTGATTTTCTCCATGTTTTGACTACTGCTACGGTCAGCTGTAAAGCTGGCATATCAGGTGACGCCACGGTTTGACGTGCCTGTGTAAAATGGGGTTAGCCCAAACCAGATATAATGTACAGGCCTGTTGGGTTCGGGGTCTTTCATCTTTCATCTGCCTGCGTGCAGTTTGGAGGTGAAGGATACCTGAGCGTGTAATGTTAATTTTTACCTGTGTTCATGGAATAAATCAGCACTGTTTTGTAGTTACTTGGACTGCCTCGTCTCTCAGAGTCCGTATGGTAAAAAGTACCGGGTACAACAGAAGACAGGACAATGATTGGTGTTGTAGAAATAACAGTGTCATTAGTTCAGGCCTCGAGTGAGAGAAGCTGACTCCTACTGTCTGTTCTTGACCTTTGCCTGTGGTTTCTGGTGCGGTCTGCTTGATTGGATGCAGCTGCTGTAGACAGCCCTGCTGTGTCTGCACTGCAGACCATTTTCTGCTGACATCACACACAACAAAACAAGTCTGTAGTGTAAAATAGCAGCCGATCATAATGAATGTGCATGGTGACGGTGTTCACTACATGTTGAAGGTTTGCTGTAATTTCCATACAAGTATCATGATCACTCATTTACAAGGTGGCTGGTAGCCCATGCAGGGCTGACTCATCTGGTACATACAGTATCATGCACTCAGTTAATAAGAATAACATTCTCTGTGGCTACAGTGAAAATAATCTTAGCCTCATTAGCAATCTGATGTTGCATTTGGCTAATGAGACATTTGGGCTTGAGCCACAGGGTGAATATAAATTTGTTTTTTTCCACAGGGCATTTTATGTAAATATATCATTAAAAATTTTATGGCACAATTTTTACTACTATGGACAACAATTTCATGTTTGTAACAACATGATTCATTTAACTGTTTAATCCAGAATGAAATATGTCAGCATTATTGAACTGACTGTCATAAAACTTTGTACAGATATTCAGGGCACCCAGAGGATGAATCCTGATGTCTTTGGGGTTCCCCTGACCTCTAGTGCCATTACATTTGTGGTTAAGAGTAAATTTGCCTCCTTGAGATCAACATTAGCTGTATTTTCATTACATTTGGTATACTATTAGATACATTTCCATCCACCTGTTTTATGTGCATTTTGAATTTGCACAATAAATAAATAAATAAATAGAAATATGAATGAATGAATGAATAAACCCTAAGTGGGAAGAATGGAAATTCAAAAACACAAAAGTCAAAATATTGCAAACTGGATGATTGGTTAAGATGGCAGTAAGTCTATGTGCCAATAAAAGGAAAATGCAACAAGGCGCAATGGAAACTGACTTAGAGAATCATGATGTAAATGATGAATGTGAGTTAAACGTCACCTGTCACCGAAGAGACAAAAAATTGCAGCAGACAAAAACTCTGAAATCCAAGAAAAAAAAACCTGAACTCTGTGTGGAGTGATGAAGAGACTAACATTTGTAACATTAATATTTGAACAAATCTAAATGTCATATATTTTCAGTGGAGGTTTGACTGGTGCTGTTTTAACTTTGTCATCTCATTGTGCTATTTTTTTCTGGTTTAATGGCACCTGGCAGGAGAATTTGTGCTGCCAACCTGATGTCCCAAACTCCTAGCATTTGCACAAAAGCTCCCAGGCTATAGATAAATAGCAGGCTTCCCATCTAATGACACCATCAGCTCAGGATGTTATTTTATCCAATACTTCACTGATGAAGTATTGGATAAGTGAAATCATCATCAAAAATATTGTCAGGCATGAAATGTAGCTTTTCTGTCTATAAACCATTAACTAGATGAACCTTTGTAACTTCGTCTTGACATTAACACATTTTTGAGCTTTTGTGAGGATGTGTATGTGCCCACTG